TAAAAAAAAAAAAAAAAAAAAAAAAACAGGGGTCAAGCGGACAGAGCCTTTCTCTAGTTTTGCTACATAACAGGAAGAGAATGGCTTTTATATTTCACCTTTGCTAAATTAATGTTTAACCTTCTTTAATCGAAAAGCAATAGAAGAGTTATTCCACCTATCTTCGCTGTCTGGCTTTCAGCGCTTTCGGCTATACCTTGTTGTCTTGCTTGCTTCTGTGTGCTATTGCATCTTTCATCGTAGATTTTTATCTTGCTCAGCAATGGTGATGAGATTTCAGAAATTGGCCTGGAAGTCAGAGAATGCTTCTGTGCTGCGGATTGAACACTGAATCTCATTTGTGGCAGTACAGCAACGGATCACATGGACTCCAAGTTACAAAGGCGGGAACCTATTCGCTTTTAATAGGAGGCATTCTGTGCCTTGGATTGGGAAGCCACAGCTTAATCCGGGCATACAACTCCAAGCGCAACATGCAGCCGCCGGCGTGCAGCGCCAATGCTCACATAATGTGGGGGATTCGGCTGGCCACAAAACGGGACTAAGCAAGAAATGCTACAAGTAGCTAGATATGAGTGAAGAGATTGGATCTACCCATGACAGGAAGAAAATTAGTCCCCCAGCATGCAGCTCGAGCGGAGCTGTTGTGGTGAACGGCACAGTCATCTCATGCCTGTAGATGATAAGGTAAAGGGAGAATACCTGAACAACAAACCCACACTACACGGCACAGCAGAACAAACCAAACCCTGTAGAAAAAACACCAAACACAGAAACAAAGTACAGCACAACACAGCATAGCTGTATCCCTTGAATCCGCGCAAGTGGCTGTATCATCCCAAGAAGCAATAGTCTTCTTACATCCAGAACAGTAACTGCATCCCCAGCATCGCACGACATAGTATCGTACACGGGCACTATAGTAGGGTCTCCGCTGAGTGTCTGTCGAGTGCGTTCATCATAAAGGGGAATCCAGAGAATATTTAGCACTTAATAGGAAGTTGTCAGACCATTATTGTGGTGTAATGGGTAACTCGAGCCTACAAACCTTAGGACGTGGGGCTGGCTAACCCACTAGACGGGCCTTGTAGCGGACGAGGCGCTCGGACACTTCTTCTGTTTGAGAGAGGGGATTCTTAAGAAATCGGCATTTTAAGCCCTTTACAATCGGAGAATGGTATTGTACGGTTTTTAGAGTAATATTTGTGGCGTCCTTCAATCGTTAAGCGATGTGCACCTAAGTTGCACCGGTTAGAGATTCACGTAGTGTCAGCTGAGAGATTGGGCTGTTCACTACAAGTAGTACACAACAGAGCAAAGAACTGACCTAGAAGTCAACAGACGCAGCCAAGACGGCGGACAGAGAACCCAGCCAATGAATGGGATAGGCAGAAGCGGTAGCAAGCATTTGTAGAGTACCAATAGAGGCCCAATCACCTGTGGAAGCGGGTAGGAGTACTGCCTCACACAGGATCACCTAGACAGCGATGATGATAACCCCACTATCCCTACACACGCGGAACACATCCAATAGGTGTAAAAGGGGCAGAAGGAAAAGTGGTGGTGACACAGGGCGATGAGGACCACACAATCTACGGTAGCGAGCTCAGACCAGAAAGGGGTGAATGTAGTGAACAGCTGGCCTGGCTGCACTACGTGTGACTCCTAGGTGATTCAACTGGGTGTCAACTCCGTTATTCTAGCTAGACTAAACTATTCAAGGCTAAATTCGCCCAATTATTCAATTTACGCCAATTGAAACATATTTAGAGTTATCGGCTCCGAGGGAAAAATCCAGAGTGCCCGAACTGATGTCCCCTCGGCCCGGCCGAGGGTCGTTCTGTCCGCCACGGCGCCAGCCCCAAACCCGGTGAGGCTACCGGGCATCCTGGTCCGCTGGTCCTGAACTTCCCATAATCATTAGCTCCTAAGCATGCACATATTCCTTTTTCACAGTATCCGGCTACAGGAGAATCCAGTGAAATTCCACTGTAGTGCCTGTGCACTCCAGTGATGGTGTAGTGCACATGGACTGCAATGGTTCACTCTGCGAAACCTCTAGCCGCTGTGGCCGGGAAAGGAAATGACATAAAATACTACTAAAGACAAATTAGAGCATTTATGCAAATAAATAAGGAAAACTGGAAACGAGCACCTACCGTCCTTCGCGACCGTGGGGCTGGCTGGAACGCTGAGGCACTGGCCCACCATCGGCGATCAAGGCGAGACAGATCTATTTTGGGTCTCCTTTTGCCTAAAAAAACTGAGAATTGGTGTTTGGCTTTACTAAGCTTGATTAGGGTATTTTAAGGGCAAGAATCTAGATTTTCGTGCTTAGCAGTCCAAGTGCACCATATAGTGAGGCCAGTTGACTCATGAAGTAACAACCGAGTGCGAGCGGTGTACTACAGGACTAGCGCTAGCTACGAAACGCACGCGCGTAGGTGCGCTTGGCGAAGTCGCAAGATATCGTTTATTCAAGAGACGATGAACTCCCTGATTTTCGAGTAATTTCCAAGCAGTGCTTTTTGACTTTTCTGTATGCTTTATATGCTTTAACAGGCATTCGCCATCAGAAAACCTACTGGGCGAAGTCAACACTGTGACCGGTCCGGCAAAGGCTCCGGCATTCTTCGCAACGTTTCTTCCTTCCATTATCTCATTTCAGCGAACTTCCAGGGTAATTTTTCTTCGTCGTGTTTGTACTGATTATTCGCCGTGGACCTAGAGCTTCTGGTTCCAAAGAAGGCGCCCCCCTCCGCAGCATCCCGCACACACAAGCCACTCCTGACCATGAGAAGCTTCGGGGCGATCTCTGCCATTTTGGCATTCTGCCTTTCCTCCGCAGAAGCTAATTCTGGACTGAAGTGGGTGACATGGCCAGAAAATGGGTCAATCAAATTCTCAACGCCCGCGGCACCACAAAGACTTGCCGTAGACGTCGTCGACTGCATGAAGGTCGATGTGAACTTCCCAGAGAACTTGGTGAAGGTAGAACTTCCAAGTGGAGAATCTCTTGAACTGACCTCCGGCGAGCGCCTGCAGCCCAACGGAGGACAGCTGGTAGTGCTCTTCTCCAGCTTTGGCGGCCAAGGCCACGTCATTGTCAATGGGGAGGACGTTGCTGGTGGGTTCGACACTCGCATGAGCAGTTTCGCCGTTCCTGAATGCTTTATTTCCAGGGTGCGCGTAACAAGTCCAGATGGAGGGGAGCTGCCTTCGGAGAGCCTCGTTGCCATATCGGAGGAGATCGTGAACAACTTCAAGAAGTCTTACGGCGCACAGTCCGTGAATGTGGAGCAATCGGCGTAAATAAGTGTTCTTACGGTTCCTTTTCAGCTCTGTTCCTGTTCCAGTGGGCTAGTAGTGAAGGAGTGCCAGATGCCCGTGTGTTTGTGGAGGTGTGCATATTCTGCATACTCGTACACCACAGCTTCCTTCGAGGAACTGTTTCAGAGGCGCCCCACGATTTGTGGGGCCACTCTGGTTCGCGCCTCTGGCAGGAGCTACTGCGCCCTGTTGGCTTGCAGGCTGCGTCACATGGGAACCGTAGACACGGAAAATGACTTCATTTGGGAGCCGTCGACAGTGGCGACTAACCTGTAGCGCAGCGTAGTGACTTGGGGCACTTTGCTCCTCAACACAAATTCCGCTTCGGACTTTCAACAAGGGCGAATGCGGGTGGTGGAAGAGAACTGGTCAGAAGTCTTAGTTGCCCCAGCACGGTTCCAGACCGTGTTTGCTGTCTGGTGGGTTAGCTGGCTCGCTTCCATTCGGAGCGACGGCCCAGTTCTGCTTAAATTTATAAGGCGTTTATTTGGCAGCAAACAGAAGATATAGCTTCCTACGATGTGCCGGCCACGCACTAAGGTGTAGCATGTGTCAGCATAAATTAGCGTAGCGAGCTGGAGTGTCGCTAGACGCCTGGTAGGCTGTTTGCTAGTGCTGCCCTCAAGCAAGTGCGTAGTACAGGTAAATTTTGGTCCCTTTGTCTAGGACATGGGCAGGGACACTTAAGCAGCAAATGATGCCGCGATGAGATGCAACTGGCGAACGTAGGGCCCCAGCACCCGAAAGCGAAGTTGAACGCTTCACTGACGGGCCTCCTGCCTCCTGCAGACATGCCTCCCGAGCTTCTCTACTGATTTCTTCAATATTTTTGCCGACGGCCGTGGCGCTTCCCTAAGTGCCACGCAGACACAAGAAGCAAATAAGGAGTTGTCAGAACTCTCAACTGATCCATCGCATCCAACATCAGCTGTCGACGGCGTGGTCTGTCCATAACATCCTAACTTTCCTTGGCGCCTGACGTGTGCAGACATAAGGACCTGGGGGCCTACGCTAGAAGAAGGCAGGGTCTCGTACTTTTCAACAAAATATTTTAGCAGTCCTCACCTAGCGAGCGCCGGGTGTGCCTTTGCCCATCGCGCCCATTTTCTGTAAGCAACATCCCAACTCATTTCCTTTGACCGGCCTTGTCTCCTGTTAGTCTTGTTGGCGAGGTCTTTCAGTCGGCGTTCCTGGCGCCGCTGCGCTGCAGAGAATAAGAGTGAATCGGCAGTGTTGCGGTTCCTTTCCTCTGAACCTAGCGAACTATCTGTCGATCGCTGTGCCTCTTGGGCCCGCTGCAGGAGAATCTCCAGTGCCAGGCGTTTCGTCGTCGCCTTAGTGCGATCTTCTCTAGTACCAATATAATCTTGAGGAATGCGAAACGGGTTTGACTGTCCTGAGACACGTCACAAGAACTCCTTGCAGCCGGCTAGACGACATTCAACTACATCCAAAGACAGCCTACGCCCCAACTAGCGGAAAATTGAAATACAGGTAAGGCGGAGTGAGAGAAGGGGAAGAACTTGGGTAACGCTGAGGGAAACAGGCGCCGCTGAAACGTATACTAGTGGCTTACCCGCCTTGTTCCTCTGGGCACCACCAGCGATGCCGTGCTTCTCTTCAGACTTGCTGGTACCGAGGTTGCTGGCCTCGGAAGAGCCACCTGTGGCATCACAAGCGCCATCATTGGGTTGACCTACCCAAGACTGATCGTTGGTTCAAACGAGGAAGCACGACAGGGCAGGGGGTTAACTGCGACTTACCGACTGGCAAAAGCTCGTTCCGCCACTTCCGGTCGAAGCTGCGCTGCATGTCAAGTTCGTGGGCACCTGTGTAGTTCGACGGGTCTGGAGCACTTCCAATGCGGCCTTTCGCTCTCGTTGCACTGCAACTGAAGTCTTCAGCCGCGAGCGTTTCTTCATCAAGGAAGACAGCCCCACCTAAAGGTGGCCTGGACGGTGACCGCCTAGAGACTGTGTCTTTGTGCGTGCGAGCGGTGGGCTGCCTCTGTCTCTGCTGCTGCTGCTGCTGGGCGTTGAGAACAGCACTCAGATCTGGAAGAGGCCCTGGCGGGCATTGAGACATATGTTGCACTGGTGCACACCTCTTGTGCTCACTGTCCCATGACCCCAAGTCGAGCGTCGCTACGTTTCCTGCAGCGTCCTGCACTCTAGGAAGGCACATGTCAATTTCTACAGCGGCTCGACCAACGCGTCGCGCTCGCCAATCGTTGGCGCGGAGGAGGTCTAGCGGCCGTTTGCTTGCGTTCCTAGCTGGAGCCCCCGAGGGATCTTCTCTCCCTGCTGGGCTTAGGCTCAGCTTCTTGGACTGCTGTGGATGCTTTTCGTTCTGGTTAGGCCTCTGCGCCTCCAATGCTGATTTTCCAGCATATTCAACGCACGCCTCTAGAGAAGTGGCGCAGTCCCCCTCAAACTCGACTCCGACCCTCTTGCAGCAATGCAGACTAGCGGAGCTAGCAGCAGCTGCTGAGGAATCAAGGCGAACCTCGTGAAATACGTTTGCGGCCCATGCGGAATTGGCGGGCTTCGCAGATTGTCGAGGATTTCTCATATCTACGTGCAGAGAAGAGGAATGCAAGGCGTCTGACACGGGAGCAGACAAGGGAGTGGCGTTGGTGTTCACTTCTTGCAGATATCTGGCAGTAACTTCGCCCGCTAGTGGCTCTTCGTGTGGCTCTGTAGCCTTGTGTACATGCCTCATCGTGCAGGACGAAGAAGGCAGCAAATCCCGTATAAGGGTTTCAGCGCAAGACACATCCGGCAGCGGCAAAGCCCCTGCGGCTCTATCAACGGCGGCGGCAAGCACTGAACTCAATGCTGTCCTTCTCCTAACAGCTGAAACCTCTTCCACCGTAAACTCGGTTCCACCAAGTGCGTCTACTCCCGCTTCATCCTGAGGCGAGACAGCAATGAGTTCCAGCGCCTTGCGATTTAAAGGGCTTTCTCCCTCAGCCGCGAGGTCTTCTGCTTCACCACTGCCCTTAGGCTCATCACCAGAGCAGCCGCCTTCCTCTTGGGTAAGTATCCGATCCAGCGATCTGCTGGCGGCACTGGAAAGCGGTGTTCCCCAGCGCTCAAGAGCGCGGGCAACGGGGTCGTCTGGGGCTTGCACCAGTTGCTTGTCCTGCTTCTGTGCCTCTCGCTCAGGTGACCCTGTGGCTGTAGAAGCTGCTAGCCCTGGCGTAGTCGCCGTCTTTGTGTGTTCAGCTGTGGACAAAGAGCTCACTCCTCCCCCCAGTTTGTTGGCCTCCTTCTTCAAGCGCCGTGCCTCGACTAAATTTGCCGCCTGTATGATGCAAACAAAACACAACAGCCCCACACTGTGCGGATTATGCCCCCTGCTAGCATCATTGAGCAGCCACCGAACTGCAGTGAATGCTCTGCAGCAGGAACCACCCTTCATGGCAAAGAGGGGCATGGATGCGAGGAGACGACACGCGAGGGTCAACGGAGAATAGAGGATCTCATGAACAAAGCTTTTCCCTTTGCTTGCCTTGAGGCGGAGTCTCCCAATGACAAGTTCCTTTGACAGCCGTAGCTTCTCTATCTCCGCACGAAGATGGTCTAGACCTCGGTGGCGCAGGGCACTGACCGCCAATGGGGGGCCTGCACATCCCTTGAACTTCTTCATCTCAACTGAAGCCTGCAGTGTCATGCATCCAATCCTCAACGGCCCCACGCATGCATCACAGCTACCCCGCCTCTAGGCCTTGGAGCCCAGAAGAAGAAACAATTGGAGCTTCCCAGGTGCAGCGGACGAGGCTACGGTTGCCCCGCTAAGGTATGAGTGGGCGACTTGAAGGCAATGGCTGGAACTGTAAATTCAGGGTACGGAGGGTCACACAAACATACGATCTGAAGAATCTTTATAAGGGACTTTTGCTCCGGAAGGTCAGCCTTCGTTAGCACAAGCTGGAAAGGGATGCGATGCCGCTCGAAGAAAGACAGAAGACATATATCGCTTGCTTTCAGCCCCCAACGCGCGTCCACAAGGAGGAAGACACGCTTGAGATTCCTGGCAAAGGAAAGCCCCAACAGCAGCAGGGACAGCAGCAAATTCTGTTTTCTGGTGGCAGTCCCCCTACTCGAGAGCGCTAGCGTCTGCCCCACGCCATCCGTGGGTTTTTGCAAGCCTTCAGTACAGTAAACACCTGCGCTGAAAGCTACTGTGCTGGTGCACACAGAGAGAAGACCCGTTGCTCTGGGCTGGAATAAACGCACGGGCGAGCCTTGAGGTAGAAAAGAGACATTTCTGTCCACTGCAACCTCTTGGATGCTTCAGCCTCAGCATAGCCATATCCAGGGAGGTCCACGAGACATATACAGCATGGAGAACCGGCCTGAGGCGCACGGCACAGAACTTTGTCCTCCAGCCAAACCTAAGCCCCGCCCTTCCTGGCGGTGTTGTTTCTGTGGGTGTCGATCTCTGCCCATACAGGACTGTCTGATCTCTCTTTATGTGCCTGTGCCTGTGGCTCTCTTTTTGTTTCCAGTGTACACCTCCCCCTCCGTTGTTTTCCGTCGGCGAAGCGCCGCTGCCTGCTACCCTCTCGTTGCGTAGGAACTTGGCCGTTCCACCCGATGTCTCATTCTGCATCTCAGGTGCTGACAGCCTCAACAGCGCGAGGCCGGTGTGGCAAGGACGGATGTTACAATAGACAACCCTTCAACAAAGGAATGATACGCGATGTAGGTAAGCACCGTGGCGTCTGAAGGCTCACCTTAAAAAAAAAGAGCGACTGAGTACTGCCTGGCCGGCGTGACACCGCCGCAGTGCCGCTTCGCCCACAGAGTTCATTAAGTAGTGTACTCTTTCCAGCATTCGATCGACCCGCAAACGCTACCTGACCCAAGCACAAGCTCACCAATGCAACACCCTGCCCCCAACTGCCCACAACACGTGCATGCCCACCCCCTCCTTGTGACGCTCCTTTCGGCATTCGGCTTCTCCATGCCAACGGAAGAAGCCTCGTCGCAACTCACAATTCAACAAACAACAAAGTGAATCATTTAACCCCAACGCTGTCTCTCCCTCATTTGTACATCCCGCCCTGGCAGCAGCCGCTGTGGAGGGCGCAACGGGCGAGCAGCGCCGGCCCACCTCGGCTCTCAAGTGCTAACCTCGGGATACAAAGGAGGCGGCAACTCCTCCACAGTCAGGGCATTTTTCCACAACCGCAAGCGAGGCTTCAGCTGCTGCAAGAAGAAAGGGCACCGTGCAGAGACCGCCTGCGGGTCCCCTGGCCACAAACCGCATGACACACGGGCCCCCCGAAACGTTCAACGCAACCCAACTAAAATCCCCCTGTTGAAACGCTGTGAATCCGCCAGGGGCAAGCGAAAAACAAGCAAAAAGGGTGAAAGCACAAACCGCACATGGAATACAAACATGCCACTCACCCCTCTTCAGAAGACGCTGTGCTCGTTGGCACCGGGGTCTCCCGAGACCCTCTCTCAGCACGTGTAATTGGAGCTTTGGGTCAAGGCGTTTGATGGCCCGTAGCTGCTTCCTCAGAGGGACAAGATGTGGGGTGGCCCCCCCCTCAGAAGAGAATCCGTGGGCCCCCACCGGCCTTGCGGGCAGCGACGGAGGTACTGACCCTAGGGTGCTACCACCTGACCAAGCTCCGTAAGGAATCCGCAGGTGCCTATGTATGTCGTGAAGACGTGACAAGGGGATGGGCAAGCAACCTGGCGAGTACTGGTTGTGTCTTCCGGAGGCGAGGAGAGGCCAGGGAAGGCGTAAAGAAAGACGGGCCGAAAGGGACCGGTTAAGCGCAGCCGTAGGACCAAAGAAGAACGGAAGCGGACAGAGGGAGGCAAGGGGAGGCCCCAGGCGGAGAGGATGCAACAGAAGGGGGCCTCCGGCTGTGCGAGCTGGGGCAAGACATAAGCAGCACGACAGGGAGGTACGCCGCACAGCCATCCCTTGTGAGACCCTGAGACTCACAGGGAAGAAGGAAGTGAAGACGAGTAAAGAAGACGACAGGAAGTCATTGAGTGTAAGCTGCTGAACCTGTGATAAGCAAACGCACAGGCATGAAATGGCGGTGCTGCCCCCACTGCGGTAAGCCGCCGGCGTACTATGAAGTCTCAAGGAAAGCTAATGAACGAGACACACAATAAATACTAACTGAAAGACAATTCCATATAACTACGGGAGGTCGATCGAACGACCTCGCCAACAAGGCACAGCTGCCGCTGACAGGGGCTGGACAAGTCTGCACCGGCACTACAATACTTCAGCCTGTACAACCTTTAGCATCCTCCTCCGCAAAAGGAAAAAATATAACATACTACTAGTGCGTTTATGCGTTTATGCATGAAATACGGAAAACCAGCTATGATCTCAAACAGGCTATCACGCCCGTGGGGCTGTCTGGGACCCTGAGGCAATGACTCACCTTCGGGGATCAGGGTCTATCTGCAGCTCTGATCTGTTTCGGATATTTTTTGGGCTTATATATTTGGGCAGGAGTTGGTGATACTTTTTTATATGCTAGGCTTATTTCAAGGTAAGAATCGGGATTTCCCGTCGATCAATTCTGGTGTACCATACAGCTGAGCCAGAGAACTTGCGTAGTCGCAGCCGAATGCGAGCTTACTACATTTGGGGGTTGTTGCGAGGGGTTTTTCTTTCCACACTCCTAGCTGTGCAACGAATTTAACTCCTACGAACCATTGGGGCCTCTCGCATACCATCATGGGGAGAATTAGAGCTATAAACCTACCGGAGACGTAGGTGCACGAACCCTAACTCGCCGGACCGTGCTTCAGGAAAGCGACAGTGGCCTAACAGTACAGATCAACGCACCAACAGCGACACAAAGGGGAATTGAAGGGACTGTCGAACTCAAACAGAGTGAT